GCACCAGTGGGTTTCAAAGGAATTCTGGCTTTGACTGAAATGACAAAATTACACTATTTCTCTGAGCCAGCAATTGTAAAAAGAGAAGTATTCATGTGTAATGTGCGGACCAGACAAGGAAATGAACCAAAACTAAACTGAAAATTGCACATTTCATCAAAATCAGTCTTACCTAAATATTTTGCTAAATATACATGGTTTATGTGAAAAACCAAAAAGATTCTTATTACAACTGAGAAACTATGACTAACACAGCCGTCACTTGACAAAAATTCAGGGACTTTTCAGCTCAAATGGGATGAACTGCAGGCTGTGCTTTCAGAATATATGTGGTAAAATATCTGTAGTATGTACAGTTGGCATTTTTTCCCCAGTATTGGTAATACCTGTGGGAACTTCAAAATGTTGCACATGCTGACTTCAGGTTTGTTAAATTTTTGTACAACAAACAATCAAAGAAATTGATTGTTTTTAATTCTATTTCCTGAGTGGATATGTAGAGCCACTACTTACTACTAGTACTGGTAACGGCTGTGGTTTGTGCCACTTTTTTTTTTCAGTCTTTGAAAAAGTAAATATTAATAAATATTTAAAGAAATCCAACTCTATTTTTTCCCTTTTATGATTTATGGCATTATAAATGTGTCACACTGCACAGAAGTCATTTTTTGAGTCCTCTCTCCTTCTGGCCATGGTCATGCTGTTTTAATAGAGGTGCAGGACTTTATATATCGAACTGAAATACGAGGCCACAGTGTGCAAAAAATGTGACAGGAGTATATAAAAAGCCCACAAACTGCTTCGGGTTCAGTGGGTTACAATAACCGTTCAGTTTGTTTTCCCTCTAACAACACAACAAAACAGTCTCCTATTATTATCTGCACAAAACCAAAGAATAACCACATACTGGGCTTCTTATGTGAACGTCATCTACGAAAATCGCAGAGAAAGTGATTAAGAAACATCGTGCGTATGTTTTTCAAGTGAATCTGAAGGAGGCTGTGGGTGTATGAGGTCACACATGAGGTAAGGGAAGGTCCCGTGTTGTGCTTGAAACTAAACAGCTGCATTGGAGTCATGAGATAGAGAGAAAACGAAAGAAAAACAGGTTGAGGGAGAGGAGAGGGAAGTACCAGACTCCTCACTGTTATGTAATTGTAGCATTCCTCATCTCTCTCTCTGCTTGTTCCATCTTTTCACTGTGTTTTCATCCCTTTCTTCCTCCCTCCCCTCTTTCTCAACCTCTCCCTCCAAGATAAATTAGTGTGGTGGTTTTGTTCAGCCGAATTCTCCAGTGGGCATGAAGAATGTGGCCTCAAAAGAATACACAAACCCGCACACACAAGTTTTGAGGTGCGTTACGAGCCAAGGTTTTGTTTTTTTTCCTGACATTCCACGTATTGCATCCTGCGTGAGTCTCCGTGTACATGTTCTGTGAGTGCATGTGCGTGTTCGGTGCGCCGTCTTACCCAGACACCAGGTGTCCACCATTGATAGAACTCTACAAAATAAGAAGAAAAGCTTTGTGAGAAAACAATCCCTCAAGCCAGCATTATAATAAGAGTCTTACTTTTTATGCTGTAAGCCGAGGCTGTATAATGCTACGCTGCTGCAGTCGGCAGCGAAAATATATCACAACTATAAAAGCAAAAAGTTAGTAAGCAGGTTCTGGAGTTTGGCCTCCAGGAAGAACAGTTAGTTATGAACCAAAAAGGAAGTTGGTTTGATCTCTGGCACAAACAGGCCGGAGTTATATTTAATTCAGACTCCATCATTAGGTCTTTTCATTATAAAATGTTGAGGGGTTGTGGTTATCATCTCACTGTTAAGGAATTTAAACTGAACGTGGATATTTTACAAACTGATAAATGCCAATATTCAGAGCAGCTATTGGATGTAGTGTATTTTAAAGGTCGTGGAAGTTTGTAGAAAAGGTTGAAAATCAAAAGACTGAAGTCAATTTCAAAGCATTCGGAGAAGTAAGAATCTGGTGATCAAACAGAGAGCAGACGTTTTTGCTCTGTGAAGTCAGTGTTTTCTAGTTTACGCTGGCTTAAGTAATGGAAACTGAACTTCTGCCATCCACAATCCTGTTCAACATCTATATTCATATCACCTTACAAAGAAAAAACGTATTCAACCAGACTCCCAAGAGATCGTGAAAATTATGTAATGAAATTCTGTCTAATCAAAAACCCCACGAAAAGACCAAAACCAACAACGACCTGGTTGTACCAACAAGCACTTCCTGTGTAGCCAAAACCTGATATTTCAGTTGTTTCATTTACATAATTCATCACGTAAGTCATCTCAGGGTTGTTCATGAAGCAGGGTCAAGACCATACAATAGCATATCATAGAGAGAAACCCAAAGAATCCCTTTGAAGAAGAACTTGGCATCAGTGGGGAAAAAAAAACTCCCCCTAACAGGAAGAAACCTCGGGCAGGATCAGGAAGAGGGAGGGCGGCCATCTGCCTCGACCTCTTTGCCCTCGATCCCCACTGTTGTCCCAAAACGACTGACTGCTACATGTATTCATGCAGCACATTTCATTCCAGTGTGGAGTCAATGTGCTTCACATTAAATACACATGGAGCGCACATGAAAAACGTACATGTGACTGGAGACAGCCAAGTACATCAGTATGGCAGTTAAAATACAAAAAAATGTTCACGTCGGAGCGAATCTAATGCAGTCCAGCAGCTAAAGCACAAAAACTGACGCTGTTTCACCAACTCTAAATAGATATAAGAGTTCTGAAAGGTTCGTATTATGTAAGCAGGTTAGAGAGGTGTGGAACAAGGTGTTTTAGAGCTTTATGGACAAGAAGTCAAATTTTGTAGTCAATTCTGAAAATAACTGGCCACGAAGGTGAGAACAGGTGCGATATGATCAAATTTGTTTCTTGTGAGCATTCTGGCAACAGCATTTTACATCAAATATAGTCCAACAGACAAGGAATATAGACAGGTTTAGGTGAATCCGCTATAAAAAACATCTGGATCGAACATTTTAGAGCCATGTCCACAGCAATTTCTGACCTAAGTGGCATTCGTCAAGGAAAATAAAGATGGAAGAAAGCAGAGTTCTTGTTGCAAAGGTTTAGCACAAACTACTTGTCCTTATTAAGGTGGATTACTTTGTCTGGCATCCAATTGTTGTTTTTTTCATTCAACATTGAAAGACGGTTTGTCCAGGTATAGCTTTGTGTCATCAGCATATAGACATCATCGTATATTGTGCTTATGAGTTATGTGGCCAAGAGGCAATTTAGTTGTACATGTTCCTCTTTGAGTCAATCCCATCATACACTATAATCCTGCTGCTCTCAAGTCTGTATCAATTTGGAACTCAAAACTGTGCCAAACAAATGCAATGTTCTTCTTGTGAGTAAGTAAGGGTTGCTCAGAACTACAGCGTCTTTGGAAATATCTAAAAATAAAGAAAGCAACTTTATAAATGTCAGCCATTTCAAAGATATAAATGTTTGAAAGAAACCAGAGGGCTTAGAGTGGAGAACCACAGATGGTGGAGAAATCACAAAGTATTGAGAGGAGGAGGGGTAAAGCATAGTTTGTTTGGGTCTTTTCATGGAATAAGAAGAATGTAGAATAACACCAGCTATATCCTTAAGGAATGGATGCTGTTCAAAGTATTTTACAGTCAAGTTTTGACTCCTGCTGTTTTAGGAATCAGTGTTTTTGGCAACAGTCTAAAGTAAACTGACAGTACCTGCAAAAGCGTTCATATTTTAGATGATTTTTACAGCCAATAACAGGTACCCCATCAGGACAATCAGCTTTAAAAAACTAGGCCACACTGCTAAAAAGCCCCATCCATTCGACCTTTATCAAGACAGAACCAGCAGTGTTGCAGGTCCTCTGAGGTTTAAAGTTTTGACCTTATAGGACCTCATTAGAGAAAACTATGTAATTTTTCCAAACACAGTGTAGAGGTGCAGTCATGCTTTCCCTCCCTCCTGCTTCAGGACCGTGAGTCTGTAGCACATTTCTTAACAAAGCTCCGGTGGGAGGCAGACCTACTTCTTTGTGTTCTCTTCCATGTGATTCATGTGGCTGGAGGGTCTCCTCTCGAACCTCTGAAACAAGCAACACCATCATGGGAGGGCTGAAAATACGCTCCCATTGTTTGACAAAAAAACCCACATGCATGCTGACAAGGACACACACAAAGAGACGCATCCATTTTACTCGTCCCTCACATCGAATGGCAAACAATCAATCACTGGTAATTCAACTTCCAGTATGGAAATGATGATTCAGTGGTGATTTATGATAATTAATACACATGAGAGGTTTCGGTTTGAGGACGCAAACACACACACACCAGTTTATCCCAGTCGGCCTTTATGTGCGAGGGTCTGTATCTGGGGTTGGGAACAGCATCCAGATATTTTGTCCTCTCCGTGTTCCACTGCAGCTCTGACCAGAAACCCTGGAGACTCCTGGCCTGCGCACAGATATACACGGGAAACAAACAACAACAACACCACAGTGACAAAGCAAGGACATGGCTGTGAAACAACAGAGGATAACTACATCCGATTTGTGGACATGGTCGATATAAAAGCACATTTCAAAGCAATTTTGTACATCTTAAGGATGTTGACTATGATTATTTTTTGTTGTAGACATATCAGGGTCATATATCAGGAAGATTGCTCGCACTAAAATGATAAGAATTCATAGTTTTGCTAGTTGCTAGTAGCACAGATTAAATATCTTTGCTGTACAAAGATCGTGCTTAATGTCATTTGTAGTCACCCCCCAAATGCTCTAAACCAATAATAACCCTAAATCTGTATCTACAGCATGTGTAATATTTTACTAAACACACAATCTCTAAAGTGAACCACCAAGCTCCAATATACATTTTGATTTACTGGTCCTGGAAATAAACAAGGACTTTTGTTTCTTATCTCAAGATGATAAATATAAATCATATTTGTTGTTCATTAATAATTTATAGTGTTTAAATGTGTTAAAAATTTTAGAAAAAACCTGTTGTTACCTTCCCCTTGAAGACAGCTTCAGTATGCAGCTCAGTGATGCAAAACACACCAGGAACCTCCACCAAACACACCGGGACCTCCTAGAAAGACACACCAAAGTGAGTCTGTTTGTGCTACTTAGGGCCCAAACAGAAGAATAACATCGCGTCCTCGTCTGCATTCACATCGAGACGTATAGCGCTGCTTGTTTCCTCACCGTGCCTTTATGTATGTGCAAATGTATGCATAAGTGTGCGTGGTACCTTGGTGTCGAATACAGAGGAGTACGGCAGGACTTTATCCAAGCCCAGAGACTTCTCATAGCTGATTCTGTACAAAGAGGCTGTGCGAGAGAGAGAAAGACAGTCAGAGACAGCACAGGCAGACTTTTTCTTTTCCCTTGGATTCCAAACAGACGCATGTAGAATTTTTATCTCCGAAGACAAATGAGGCACTTGAGCCCACCTCTGTCACTGTAATGCATTAGTGAGCGCAATCTACTGATGTATCATTTATTAGGTCGCCATTATTGTCTTCATATATTGCAAAGCATCACCTGTGTTCATGTGAACTCTGCATCTAAGGGAAAGGTGGAGTAGTTCTTGCAGAGATAATAAAATGCTAATTTATCCAGCGCCACCATCTAATATAATTATCAACTCTCTAGGTGCTGTCAATATGAAATTAATACCATGCACTGTTCCTGTTACTTCCTTTAACTCCAGCTGAATGTGTTGCGTCTCGGCACGGACTTTGCCATATTTGCACCGCAAGTCTCCGAGGTCTCGAATCTATTTTTTAACTCCACAGACCTACGTGGGTTGCCTGGCACGAGTGCACGAGCGAAAAATTTAAGAGCCAAACAAAGCCGATGAAAGAATGTAGCTTTGTGTAGACAAGATGTAAGCAGTCGAGTCACCGCACACAGAAAGAGACATAAAAAGGCAAGAGAGGAGCTCGAACTCTAAAAGGAAGAAGAAGCGATACTCGGGAGGGCTCTTGTGTCCCTGTGATTCAGCTGCCACTGACCTAAGATGAACTCCTGGATCTGATCAAAGGACTCGAAGGTGTTCACGTTGTCACACAGCCATTCGATAATCTGGAGGCATAATAGAAACACACAGGAGGCAGGTGTTATTGTGTAGCGGTGGGAGCTCAGCGACAGGCACAATGTTCTCGTGTCACATTTCCTTATAATGTGGACAATCCACTCTGCAAAATCGCCATGAGGTTAGATTATCTTCCACTTCTCAACCCTCTGAATTCCAAAACCCACCGGCGGGTTTGAAAGGCTTGTTTTGTTTTGTTTTGAAGAACCACAATGCACCATTTTTTACAAACTGCAAGAATCTTTAGTTTTTTAACTTTCCAAAGAGGCCTCATGTGTGCTGCTTAAAATCGTATTTCATGAAAAGCACTTCTTTTTTAGGCGATTATACTAACGAGACTCAGTAAAAAAGCAGAAATTCAGCACAGCTAGGCGCAACAGTGAAGCCGTTAGTGACTCAGCTGTGATGAACAGACAGATGACAGAAATTTATCGACTTTTCGGCTGAACTGCCGGCTATGCTTACACAATCTATGCTTACACAATGTAGTAGCAAAGTCATATAGCATGTAGGGTCACTGCTTTTTCCCCAAGTATTGATTCCACCTGTGTCACTTGGGGAAATGTTCATATTGATTCTCACTTTTTAAACATTTTGTCAAATACATAATAGGGAAAAAATCCACTTATTTTTCTGTTTTTTTACAAGGTAAATATAGCTAAAGCTTGCATATGGTTGGCTTAGCTTAGCATAAAGACTGGAGAAAGGGGGAAGTACTCTAGCTTACTAACACAAACTGTTCCGTTTTTTTTTTCCATCTGTATAGAAACTTAATTGTGTGATTAAGTGTTGCACTATCTGGAGAGATTATTTGTTGAACAATGTCAGACTTTTGGCTGCTTTTTTGTAGAAGCCTTTGTACCTTTAGCGAAAGAGCAAGTCTACCTTCTTTCAGGTTTTATGCTAAACTAAGCTAATTATTCGCTGGCTTCAGTTTTACTTTATAAACATGAGCGTGTTTGCTTCTCATTTAAATCTCAGCTAAAAAGCTAATAGCTCAGTGTTTTTTAAAGTGGTGGCCAAACATTCATAGTTTCTGAACAGTGATATTCCTCTGACTTGTTATTTAGCGCCATAATCTGACATTGGTTTATCAAAAAAAAACAAAAAAACTCAAGGCTAACTAATGGCATTCAAGCTCAGGGATGTTTTGTGTTCAGTACTAATTAGCAAACTTTGAATATGTACTTTGTAAACATTAACATGCTAATATTTAGAAAGCATGTTTACCTCTGCATCATGTCGAAGAAACTATGTATAGTTAAACATACTTTCCAAACATTAGCATGCTAGCATTGTCATAGTGAGTATGTTAGCATGTTCGTGTTAGGTGGGTATCTTATTTAGGAATACAACAGGTCTAGTTTCTGAAAAAGACACTTTTTTTCTTTGGATAATCTTGCTTAAATGTATAATGTTTGCATTACAGAAATATAAAAAAATTAATGATGCCCTCAAAGATAGATCCTCAGCCTGTAAATCTCTCAGCCACAGTGCATCAGAGTGGAAACTCATTTTCTGCAGCCAATTTCTCTGCTCTTTGAACAAATACATCTTTGCCACGAGTCAGTCGGAGTCCAGAATCATTAAACATAACAATAATCAGTACGCGGGCTGGAAGAGAAAGCAGGAGTTTGGTGGAGCTCCATTTGCGCAGCATCCTCTTCAAGTTTCAAACTCTTTTGAACAAAGAAAAGACGTTAGGGAAGCAGTCGCCTTTATTGAAGCCACTACTTTGGCGCTGCTGTTATGTGCGGTGTCCAATTTCCCAGTGCTAGCTGCACTAATGAAGCTGGTGACTCATTTAACCTCGAAAGAAAGAATTTATTACACTCTATCAGAGCAGCTGGAACGTCTTCATTTAGGTGTAATAGTAATAGTGTCTGAGTCACTGTCAGCACTGTGCCCAAACAAAATATCTAACCCTTCCTTTGTCATGTCTCTGTTTGATTCTGTTTGATCTCTTGTCTTCTCTCCTCTCCCGTTTTTATTACTGCATCCTGTCTTTTCCTTCTTTCTCCGTCTTCTTTCCTCCAACTCAAGGTTGACACCTACCGCTTTTACACAGAATTGCAGAAAGAATGCAATTCCCACCTTTAACGGTTCAATTTTTCTTGGCTGTGCATCCATTTTTCATAAGAGAAAGTGCCTGATGGTGACACGGATGCATACATTGTAATATGAATAGATGCATTCTCGTCCTTCTTTCGTCTTCTCTCTACCTCAAGGAGACCTTATGAATCTCATGACTTTGTTTGAAGGCCAGCAACAATCAGTGAATATGATTCTCTTGATTTAATGTGATATTGTTTAGTGAGGAAAATATATTGCTGAATCGAAGGGCACAGATGATGCATTGTGTCTTATTCAGGAGGAGGAGGGGAAAAGGAGGTGTTGAAATTTGATGCAAGAATTTTTACTGTCTCAGTACATTTGCTTTAAAGGTCAATATTTTTTGTCCACAAACTCTGTTATTCTGTCTGCATCTGCACCTTCAGCTCCAGGTTTGGGTCATTTCCCATGTAAACCAGCAGGCAGTGGAGTGCAGCCAGGCGCTGAGGGTCAGTCTTACTGCTGGGGCACCTTGAAAACAAACACAAAAAAAAAAGGTGTGGTGTACCACATTTTTTTTTTACCTTTTTTTTCCAACATAAGCATATACAAACGCAGACAAAGAGGCAGATGCACAGGCAGATAGCCAGTAGTCAGGTACTATATATTTTGATGTATGTGCTGTTTAAACAGTGGGTTCTTCTTTTTTTCTTTAAAACGTGTGAACAGAATGAAAAATTGTCCAAGAAACAAATAGAGAAAAGAGCCACTGCTGCATCTTTATCGAGCTAGATGGCCCCATCCGAGGCGTCTGCTGGCACGGATTCAAGTTAAAGCTAAATTTATTTCAGGAAAAACTCTGCAGGTGTATGCGAACGAAAATAACTTTTCTTTTCCATCTGTCTGCTTCCTGCCTACCCACAGTATATTCCCCTATGTTCTCAGGTTCTTCTTCTATGTATATATATATATATATATTTAGCGCCTAAATAATAACCCCAAGCACATATAGGTCCTTCATTTTCACAAAAAGTTTTGAATCCTGCTCACCTAGAACTTGTGTCTGATTGCAGAATCTGCAGCAGGAAGGCAGGGCTGAGCTCAGCAGTGTGGGTCCTCCCAGTGGCCAGATCCAACAGACAACCGCTAGACTCGTACTCTGAGTGCAATACTGTAATGATGGTCGACTGACTCGGCAGGCCCAAGTTTGCGTCTTCACCTGAGTGGCGTTGAGGCAGACAGACAGAGAATAAGGCACAGAAACATTCTAAAAAAAACGCTCTGCATGTGTTTAAGAATGAAAATCACGCGTGTGCTGTAGCTGAGAAAATGCAGCCGTCGCTCTGCTTGGACTCAATTTGTTCACAAACTTTCTCTTACCGCTGAGGAAGAGGGAGTGACAGAGTATCTCCTGCTGCCTGGTGTTGATACAGTGGAGGAAATAACCCTGCAGGTACACCAGGATGTAGTAACCTATATAAAAAAAAGTAACACAGCATCACTGTCAGGGTGTATGTTAGGATGCTTTGTACACAACGAGGCTGTGTGAGGACAGGAACACTCATTTGTGTTTGTGTTTTGGATGCAAAAGCAGGAAGCTCTGTTGAATTTTTATGATTCTGATGCGTGCCTGCGTTACATTTCTATGTGTGCAATGACCTATTGGGATGAAGAGCGGATGGAGCTGCGAGGCTTTCTGAGGTGACTCGTCGCTGCCCACGGACACTTTGAACGTCTTGCTGCAGTCTGCAGGGAGTGAGAAGAACCAAATTTGTCACTTTCAAAAAACAAAAAACAAAAGAGGCAGCGATAGATAGAGAGTAAGATCACGTAAAAGCACCCACACATACCTTTGTGAACTAAAACCACAGTGTAGATCAGTTCCTGTTTGTCTTTGAGGGGCTGGCTGTAGCACACACACATGCTTCCTGAAGATAAACCACAGGACAGTATAGTTATAGATCACAGAGGTAATAGATCGTGTAACATCCATGACAGTATTCCTAATAATCAATGAGTGTCACGTGCACTAATGAAGCATCTGATCCCATATTAACACCTAATATTAATAATGTTTTAATTAGAAAAGAGAATGGAAATACAACTGACTCTTGGCAATTTGGTTCCAAAACAATGGTTCAAATATTGTTGGATGTGAGACTTCCCCTCTAATATTATCATCATGTAATCCTGTGACAGTGTGTTTTATTTTTTAGAACTATGTCCAAAATACAAGACTTCAATTTTGGGTATAAAAAAAAAAAATTACAAAAAATGAAGCCGATGCTGCAGTCTTTAAGCTGTGCAACATAATAAACTACATATCCATAACAAAGCATAAGCGCTACAACAAGGAGGAACGTCTCACGCTCAGAACCGCTCAGAATGAAAACAAAATTTAAAATGCAGTAGACGTCTGCAGTTTTTTAGATTTCCACCCCAATTAATGTTACTGGATGGGAGTCGGTACGAGAGTAAATTCTGATTGATTCACATGCTGCTCCAGGCAGAAATTACTCTTCTGTTCGCATTAAAGCTAAAATAAAGCAGTTTCATGACTGTGCAGCTCATCCAGTGTCATTGTTTCTGTGGGCTATTCTGAGCGTCTGTATTTAATCATGTGGCAAACCACACGGGACACAGAACCTGAAGATATAGCAGAAAAGTGGCATCAGCCAGAATAGATGGATATCTGAAGCGAGAAGGGAGAGGGTGGATATGAAGAGAGAAACTATACAAATCAATGTATGAATTAATACCTCTGAATTATTTATATATCCGATTTTTTTTTTTTTTTTAACTTTTCTTAACTTTTATTGTTGCAGCTGCAGCTCTCATACTTCTAATGATCTCCCTCCCAGTCTGTTTTTAACTTACACCCAAAAATCTAATAACCTTTGTGGATAAATAAGGTTGAATTGAATTGATTTTAAAACCTCTAAAACTTAGGTAGACAAAACAGATTTTGTGATTATCTGAGCCTCCAAATGCTTGTGGGAGCCCTGATGTTAATTGGTCAGAAGTTCATTTTTAAAATGAACATTTCCTCACAATCTGTGAATAATCACTGAGATTGTAAATTAGAAAATGTCTTCAGTCACGATCTTCTGATCCTCGGCAATCAAAATTTACAATCCGTACGTTTTAGGGTTGTTTTATGTGTACGATAAAATATTTTGCTGCATCATGATGTGATGCGGGTTTGAGCAAGAGCTGTAGCAGGGACTTGCTTTCTTGTTTTCACAAGCAGAAATACAAAACAAAACAATAAAATGTACAGAATGTCATGTCATTTGAATGTCAGTGTATTTACAACTGATGACTGTGGAAGTATATATATATATATATAAATACATATCAGCGTTGCCAGATTGGAAATGTATCAAATCCAAGGCTTTAATATTATACTTTATAACCAAGAAAGCAGATATGTGTCATTTCAGAAAACACATATTTATTCAGACAAATTATTTTCTGAGGGATAGTGAAAAGAAAAAAACTAAAGGATGCTGACATGGTTCTTCTTGTGGCGTCCGATTGGGTGTTTCGAGAAGTTTGGGGTTTATAAAGGCAAAACTTCTGGACGATCATGTTTTGTCACACTGCACTGTTCTTTGTTTGCTCCAATATGTACAAAGCACAGCTGCTTGTGTTTTCTTTACTTTGTAGCACACCTCAGAGCAGAAGAACAGGTTATTATATGATGCATCAACAAACATCAAGTGTCTCTCGTTGATGAATTTTGTAAGAGACCATCTGAGAAGAAAGACTTCTGTTCACCTGACCTTCTGCACCAGGCACCTATTAACAAACCGGATGGATGTTTACAGCCAATAAAGACAATTTATTGCCCCTTTGGAGACAACAGGAGAGCTTTTCAACCTCCCAAAAGAAACGATAAGCCCTCACAGTGTCTTACCATGACTCACCTCCAGACCTTTTATATCTTAATTATGCACAGAATACCTTAATTATATCTTATCAAATTAATTCTAACATAACCAGAGTAAGGTCTCAAAGTCGGGAATCCTGCACATGCTCTCATCCTACAGGAACATTACTGAACCTGCATTTGAGATGTAAATGTGCACGTTGTTGTGTTATTGTTTGTTAGTAGCAGGAGGCAGTAAATGTTCCGTGTTTGATACTGCCGTGTATTTCTTTTTGTACGGACTAGAGGTCACTAAAATCAGAATTTATGGCTTGTAATCATAATCAAATATCCATTTAGTCTAATAAGCTATTTGAGTGGCGCCCCTGATTTAAACAAGTACAACTCCGACCTTTAAATGTGGTTACGCTACAACCTTCACGTTAGATTAGTGACGCTGTGACACCATGAGTGCAGTTAGTTGGTGGGCTGATGACGATCACGGTGTTGTGGCTGTTGTTGATCAAATAAAAATCTGTGGGGCGAGTTCATCGTTGTCAGAAGGGGACCCTTGATAGCAACAATATAATAATCAGAAAGGGATATTGTCTTAGGGATTCCTCACATAAAATTATCAAAACATTGAAATCTAAAGTGTTGTTGCTCAATGTGCTAAAACTATGGTGGCCGACGAGGGTAAATGACGTGCGTATACACAAACGAGCTGCATATACATGAAAAAGAAAATGCTGCCTATCCAGTCATGCAATGGAAGTGCCCCAAACCTCTAGGGGCAGTAGTGAGCTTTTCACCTGAGAGGCAGACAACGGTGAGCGAGATCATAGACTGTATAAAAGATGGACGTAGCAACCAGCCCTGAAAAATGAAGCCAACCCGGAAGTGTCAAAAACCTACCTCCCCCAGCTGCTGGCTCCAAAAAGCCCTGGCTCCCATAAAAATGAATTGGAAAAGAAGTGATCACAGATCACGAAATACTGCATTCCTACAGCTCAGGATTCTTTTCTTATTAGTTTTCATGGTCAAGTCCAGAGATCAGGTGGCCAATCTGAAAATAAATCAATACTGAATTTTTAAAAAATCGTCAACATTTTGCAGGGCAAGGGGCGTGGCTGGCTTGATTGACAGTCGGCAGCGACAATGCAGACGAAGCGAGCAGAAGGCGGTAAATGTGGGCGGGCAGAGGGCCCGCCTCTCAATCCGTCTGACCAATCGCTGCTCCTATGGCTCCGCCCCCCTCCGACGATTTTTGCGTCACTGGCTCCAAAAATCCAAGATGTCAACCAGGAAGTAGCAAAACCCTGGCTTCATTTTCTCAGTGCAGAAACCAACGGGTGACGTCACGGAAGCTACGTCCATCTTTTATACAATCTATGCTAAAGACTTAAAAACTGCCCCTAGAGGCCTGTGGCACAAACGCTGTGTGACTAGATATGCAGCATTTTCCTTTTACCGTTGTTTTCATTTATGCAGCGCATTTGTATACACAATGTTTTCCTTTTGCAGCTTGTTTTTGTTTCTGCGCGTCATTTGCCCCGTCGGCCACCATATAAAAGTGAAGAAAAAACGCAACACTGAAATTAAAAAGCTTCAAATTAAGTGTGACAAACTGACCAAATAATAAAATTATTGTACATTATGAGATTTTTGGCATTGCTGATACTTTGTCATGTGGCAACGCTGGTATATAGGTGCAAATGGGCACTATTGGAGCAGGGATTTATGCATGTGAATGTGTGTGGATGTGTGTTACCTATTTTGCTTGTGAACACTTGCATCCTAACACGTTCCTGCTCTGGCCTCTCCGTGTGGTAATGGTCAAAACCCAGATTTTCAAACCTGTTGACCAGGAAAAAAAAGCAAAAAAAAACAGAACAGAAAAATCCCAAATCAGAATGTTTAGGGGCTTTTCAAACTGAAAATTTATGAAGGTAAACAACAAACTAATAACTTGTACAGCACAGAAAATTCACAAAGGAACGCGCCCGTTGAGAAAACACATTTTTATATTACAGCGCGCTGGCTGTCTTACTTGACTGTGCGGAAAGAATTAGCCGGCAACTCTAATGGGAGCTCCAACTGTTGGATATGAAGCGAGAGAATGATGTGTTACTGCAAGGTGAAAGCATGAATAAGAGAAACTTTGATTACAACACAAAGACGAGTAGCTCATTAAGCTTTAGGACACAGGGGTGACATACCACGGTTTCACAGTGATGGTTTGGGTAGAACTGTACACATCGCAGCAGGAACTTGTCCTGCGAGAGACACGTTGTGAATTTTGTATTAAATCAAAGGTGAAAATGGCCTTGAGATATCTGTAGGCATATTTGTATGAACGAATATAAATCAATACGGTGTTTACCTTGTGTGTGAGATAGTAGAGTCTTTGTGTGTGTCCGTCCCACTGGACCCAGCAGAAATCTTCTACTATTCGCTCTGCTGTCTTGGACAAGCGCTCGGGATTTGCCATCACCTGGTTCACACAAACACATTCATATTCAGCTTTGCAGACACACTGAATTCTTAATGCAAAGCTCCCCGGGAGGGTAACACACACACACGCTATAGTTTATGGCTCGAGGTTGAAACAATATATTCTTTTCACTGGGTTATGTAAATACATTCCGACTGTTTTACTTATTAATTACTAAATTTGTGCACCCTAAGAGAAAATGTATATGTTCACATAACTGCACAGAACAAACCAGCTGCAAAATCCTGCATTTAATTTATAGCTTAGCTTAGGAAACTATCCACAGATGCTTCCATCATAAATAAAAAACAAAAAAAATAGCTGGCTAAACTGAGCAATGTAGAACTTACCACCCTGTAACCCTCCTGCTTGGTCAGCATCACATGGTATAGATCCACATCTGAAACACACAATTACACCATTTCAACTTGGATCAGTTTAAATGTGCCTCTTTGCAGCAAATTAAACAAAGTCTCACATGTCCCCAGAGTGTGTCTTTCAATTTTTCAGCTCAAAATGCTGCAAAGATGGTTCATTTCACCATAACTGTATAATTCTTGGTATTAGTCCTGTTCTAAATGGGCTGTTTCAGTGTCTGTAGCTTTAAATACAGCTGAGCAGCTGCTGACCACTCCCTCTTCAGGAAGAAAACTCTCTCTGTGTATGTGATTGACAGCAAAAAGCAGAAAGTTGCCCCCACGGCAGCCAAGACAGACATGAATAAGTGTGAGAGGTCAGAACTTTCTATCACTTCTGGCTCTCTAAGCGAGCCTTTTACATGGAAAATTCCCATCACAGATCTTGTTTTAACTCCTAAAATCATTACTAAACCTGTCTTCATCTGTATTAAAAAGTAGTGTATGTGAGCACAAGGGGCAGGAGAGAGGCAAAAAGATGTAAAAATGAGCCAAGTGTAGGTTACACTGATAGGTAACATGAAAACGCAGTAACCTGGCCAGTATGTGTTTATTGGTTTATTGGTTTCAAACTGGGCCCCCCAGAGCTCTGGCCTGTGGTCACATGATCAAAGCTATTGGTAACGTTAGCCACATTAGCTGTACAAGATGCTAACACCAAGGATATTCCTATTGTTGTGGTGACATTACGATCAAAAATAAAAGTAATCCACTGCATCTTCCGTTTTTCAGATGCTGGCAGTGCATGGAGACCCTTGTGTTCACTCTTGCAGCCGACAGCAGAACATCTGACGTGCTTTTAACCTGTAAACCTGGCAGACTGTGATGCAGCTTCCCGTTCTGAATGGTTCACCTTGAAGCAGTGGGTATTCAGGAGGCAGGATGAAACAGAGTTTGAGCTAATCGACTGTTTGTTCCTAAGCTCAGTAACATTCTTACTAGCTTATAAAGCTGGGAGGATATCTAGCTGTCAGGGGGCTTGAGAACTGGCAGAAGTCTTCATATTTTAACAGCTTTTACTTTAAACCTCATAGTTTAGGAAAACTACAAAACACAATAGCAACTGATTTTCACCATATACGACTTCTAAAGTTTTTCAAAGGAAGAACATCAAATCTAAAAATCCAGATCATTTCTCTTTGGTTTCATGATTTCTTTTGTGTCAGGTTAGGGAGTTTAGTGTAAACATCAAAGCCTTACATCCATCTTCAGTCAGCAGCAGCAGATGGCTCTCCAGCACAGATCTCTTGTCAGTGTCTTGATTGAGGAACTAGAAAAGAAACTAAATGAGTGATTTAGAACATTTACCACAAGAAGAAATCACGTTGGTGGTTTTCATGTTTTAATAAAAGGCTGAAAAACACAGACATTTATGTTATGACTCTGATGATAAAAAAAGACATGACTGAGAAAGAGAAATGGAAAAAAAATGAAGTGATTTAAACAAAGTGACAGGATGGCAGCTAGACACCAGCAGACTTTCGGCAAGGCCATAAAATAGATATAGTGGTCTATGACACTCTTCCACTTTCAGCTCTAATGCTCCGTAACTGCAATGTCAGCTTGTAGTTGCAGTAAAACCTGAATGAAAGTGGCCAAAACAACACAGACACGTATACGCTGTACCTGCACTTTGACTCTGCAGTCCACTGCCTTGAGGACTTTAGTGTTGTTGATGGGATGAATCTCGATCAGGAGAGTCAGACACTTTGAAACTAGAAAGACAAACGAGCTGGAGTGAAGGTTGCAACCGTGATGAAAATGTTCCGTAAAAATGTTGATTTTAAACAAGAGGCTGGAATGTTGAAGTCTTTAAAGTCCCTCTGAACCGCAGAACATGCCAGCAAGTTTGAAAGGAATGTTGTCTTTAATTTAAAAAAATCAACAAAATGACACTTGATTGGAGGAAGAAACTGTAAAAACAGAAAGAATCACCAGACTTTTAACTTTCTACTAATCTTTGATGTGCTGATCTGTTGGGAAATTTGACCAAATCTAAGCTTGAAATCATGATATTTCGGCAAAATCATTTTATTCTACATGTGTAATTTAAAAATCTGCCAAAAATAAAACATTTGCACTCACTAGATTACATAAAAAAAGCCCCAAATGAGTGACTAAGCTGCAACCAACAGTCATGTCAAAAAAATTCAGGGACTATTTCGCTGAACTGGGCTGAACTGGGCTGAACTGGGCTGTTTGTTTACTTGTTTTTCTTTCTTATGATTTATGGCATTATAACTTAGTGTTCAGAGGGTTAAATAAAACAGAAAGAACAAGATCTCGCGTCTTACTTGGGTTGAGGCGGTCATATCCTCTGGTATTTTGTGCCAAGCTGACAGCTAAAAAGCAAAAGTGAAAGACGTCATGTTGCTGAATTCACATTTATTTCACACACACCACTACATTAAATCAATCTTAACAATTAACTGGCATCCCTTTAATTGTGAGTTGCTCTGCCTGTTAGTGTTGCTGTGTATATGCGTAGCTGTCCGCCGTTTTTGTGCGATTATACGTGTAAAAAGAAAGCACAGCGGTGCGAAAATGAATTCCCCCTTGTCGACAGTAAAGTCTAACTTACTAACTAATTAGCACCCAAACTGCATCCCCGCTCTCGTACTTGTGAGTCCTCGTGTTGCGAGATCATAAAGCTGCATTGATGCCGCTGAACTGCTCTCCAGACACTGACACTTAAAGTTGATTTGGGGTCAAGAACTCGGTATTGTTAACGGCGTGTGCTGCTGATACATTCATTATCCGCGCGTTGCAGAGGCTCACCTAACAGCGTCTCCTCCTTGTTCAGGGAGCAGCTGCTGACACACACCTGCTTGTCGAATGTGTACAGAAGCTGTGGGATAAAATACACACACACACACACACACACACACACAGAAGAAAGCAGCATGGGAATGAGTCTGCGGAGAGACGGCACAAAAAGCAAAAAAATCTGCAGCATTGAAGGAAAGCAGATATGAGAGACACACACAATACCTTGTTCTGTTTGGTGTTGGAGTCATATTTCCCGATCCTGGTGGTACCTGTTGCTCCCTGTTGGGGGGAAAAAAAAATCTTTTACTTATCTTGTGTGTCATTACATCAATCAAACTGAGGTAAGTAATCATAATCTGTCCAGCAAAAAAAGAAGCTCCACTTTTCCCACCACATCATTATGTCTAGAAAGCCATGCTTGACCTCTTTACTACCTCGGCTGACCTCGCTGATTACCCCGACGAGACCTGCCTCACTTCAAACCAGCACGCTTTGCGGCTTCATAAGATTTAAAATAAAAAGGAACTCTGTTCTGAAACCCACAGCGCAGCCAGGCATGCATAAAATTGTGAACCTTGCACTAAAAAAAAAAAAAAAAAAAGGAGATTATTTTCTCTTTTGCAGGCTGCACACCGTCTTTAACCTCCTAAACCCACACACTCTTCGGAGGGTCTATCATTAAAAATTTATGCCGTGCAGAGAGAAAGAAAGAGAGAGCGGTTCAACACACAAGACTTATGTTTTAAATTCGGGCCCGAGATTTCCAAATATACCGAATGTGTCAAGTTGAATTACAGCGAAATAAAAAAGAATATAAGATTTCCTCATTTAATGGCGCGCATTTGAAGATGAATGGTGGAGACATCAGAAAAGAAAAAAAAAAACTGCGTCTGGGATTTGAATATTTCACTTATTATAGCTTCAGTGAGGAACTGGGACAAGCAGATGCAAAATCAGTTTCAAACAGTTTACATATCTAATTTAAAAGCCATTTAAGAGAGATGATAAGCTAAACATGCTATAATGTGCAGATTAAATGGCAAATTCATGTAAATGTATCCCATTGCTCAGAATCTACACACTCTGGCTGAAGTGCCACAAAACTGACAACAAAAACCAATTATCGTAACTGTAAATAAAGTAAAACAGATGCAGGTTTAACGTGACAACACTGCTTTAATTAGGGAGAGTGAGGAAGCCACTTAATATGCGGAGCCTTCCCTACAGACTTACCTTCCAGGAGTAAAGGAGGCCCCCGTCTCTCTCGAAGTTCAGGATGCGAATGTCCACTGCTTCGGAGTATTCTGCAGACACAGCATCGTTATTATGGACACACAGAGCTCATCGCCTCGACGGCGTGTAACCCAGCATGTTGGGTTCCACTGTATAATCAGGTGCAATTCATTCATTCATTCATTCATTCATTCATTCATTCATTCATTCATTCACCTCTCATCAGAACTTTCTGAGAACACTGAGCTACTCCTTCAGGAAGTCATTGAGTAAGAAAATAAAAGATCTAGGCACACAAATTTAGCAGCTTGGATAGCGATAAATATGAGAAAGCATATTAAAAACATTAATTAGAACATTAAAAGAGAATAAATGGACTAAAACCAAAGCAGCTGGTGAAAGAGAAACGAGGCGAAATTTAAAAAAAAAAACCTGAATAGCCCTGAAACGTTCTGAAGGTTATTTCAGGCTGCACAGCGAGCAAAGCTGGATTTTCCAACAGCTGGCACCTGCAACATAATCCAATCACCTGAGTGTGTATGGTAAGAGGCCACATTAAAAGACAGTAAAGAAGTAATGTGACGGGACTGATAAATAAATAAAAACCCAGCGTCTATCAGGCTGTGTACAGGGAGCCACCCAACCTTAGCATACAGCACACGGCGACGAGCACCGCAATTATCACCAGTAATAAATCTTAATGCAGAGCGATAAACAGTGTCCAAGGGCTTAGGAGTCACTGCTGAGGTGCGCATGTATAAAATGCCAACCGTAATACAGTAGTGATAGAAAAGTGGCCCCAATCGTGATTTATTCCTGGAAAAGAACTTTTAATTTAGTCCCCCAGTTTGGACACATGATATTTAAAAGCTTCTCCTCTGCCAAGATGTGGAGGTGAATAATTAGACAGGAATTTGCAGTTATGAATGACATGTTTATCATCGTTATTATTCTTATTGCTGTTATACTGTATTGAGACTTTTTACTACTCTTTTTTAATGTAAAATACTCACAACATTGCACCTTGTTTCTTCTACCAGCACGATTTGCACGCTATTTTCCTTATCTTTTTAAAATCTGACATCAATCCGTCTGCTAAAAAAAAACATTCTCACCATCGCTATCATGCATTATTACATATATACACAGAATGAGGTTTATATAACAAATGCAAAACATGTTGCTGTTGACATTTCATTGCCTAAATACTATATGACACTATATGTCCAGAAATGGACAGTATCATCAGTAGATTCTCTCTGTTTGGTATTATTTTATTTATTTTTTACTGTATTTTCATACTGTTTTGATGGTAAAATACCAGCACAATTTTGCACAATAGTTCTTCTACCAGCACAATTTCCATACTATTTTGCACATTATTTACCTTAAATGTAACATCTGTCTATCTACTTGTCTACTAAACAATCATTGTTGTGCACTACTACGTATCTAATGAATGAGGTTTACATAACAAATGAAAAACATGTTGCTGCTGTCATTTTATTGCCTAAATACAATATGGTACTTGATATTTGATCTTGCAGTCTTATGCACCAGAAATTGACACTATCATCCATCCATTATCTATACACCGCTTAATCCTCATTAGGGTCGTGGGGGGCTGGAGTCTATCCCAGTTGACTTAGGGTGAAGGCAGGAGACACCCTGGACAGGTCACCAGTCTATCACAGGGC